GGTCCCTAGGTTATGAGAGTAACAAGTACTAGAAGTCACTGAGTGGAAACTCTCTCCATGACACACATGGCCATGCTCCCTATTTTAATGTGTCCTGGGAGGGTCCAGACTTACAGAGCAGGTGGTCATTCTTGGCTTCCCATCATCCTCACCACTTGTGCAATTTGCAGCCTATGACACTTAAGACATGCAGACAAGTAACCAAAAAACCAACAAGGATTAAATGAAAAATCCTGGCCATTGTATAATGGCTTCCATATAGTTCTTAATCCCTCTGCCACCACGTTCACATCCACTACATTATGACCAAGTGAAAGAGTTACTACTGCAACTTTTCACAAACTATTCCAGCTCAATGTTTCCACTGTAATTCCTGCACTGCACGCATTAAACCAAAGACTCTCCTCGACCAATTGTTGTTGTTGTTATGTGCCGTCGAGTCAAACCCGACTCATAGAGACCCCTCCTTGGGTTTCCGAGGCAGTATCACTACGGAAGTAGAATTGCCCAACCTTCCTTCCGAGGAGTGGCTGGTAGGTTTGAATCGCCGGCCGTCTGGTTAGCAGGCAAGTGTCTTAGCCACTATGCTACCAGAGCTCCCTCCTCAACCACTAAGGGTTCTTTTTAGCAAATGGGATTGTCTGGTCCTGGTATGACAGAAAAAAGCATATTCCAAAGGCAAAGCACTTTCCCTTCCATCAATCGTTATTGTTATAATTTAACATTTACACAGAATTAGAAAGACTTCTAGTGCATTTTAAATTAACTGCTTACATCTTTACTGCTCGCAATCCAAAAGTATTTAACTTCACGATTTCAAGGCACTCTAAAAAAATGTGTTAAGGTGAATGACATAATGGCCCAAGTGACTACCAAGTTGAATTTTTTTTCCTTTACATTTCTACATGGGAGGTATTCAAAATTACGTCTCTACCTTTTCAGATAACAGCATCACATTCCTATCAATCAGAAAGTGGCACAGATACACTCTTCAGAAAAACTACACTTACATTTTTCATTCAAATGATTTTATTATGAGAACTGGCCCTAATTTGTAAGATACCAAATAATAAATTTAAAATAGACACAACTAAATAATATATTTGATGGTCAAAACATAAATAACTGTTAAAATATATGCCATATTACTGTATCTACTCCTCACTTATCAATTATCTTGTTATTTAACATTCTGCATTTACAACATTAGCAAAAAATCTATATACAACTGTTTTGTGCATGAATGATGTATGTTTGGCAGTAATAAATTATGAGGGGGGAGGTGAGAGTAATGCTGGCTGTGATGTTTAAGGTTATGTGTCAACTTGGCTTGGCCAAGATTTTCAGGGGTTCGGACAGTATGTAATGATGTAATGTGGTAGCTATATAATAATGTATAAGGAGCTCTGATGGCGTAGTAAGTTAGTCATTTGGCTGCTAACCAGGTCGGTGGTTCAAACCCACCAGCTGCTCCAGAGGAAGAAAATGAGGCAATCTATGTCTATAAGGATTTATAGCCTTGGAAACCTAATGGGGATCACTATGAGTTGGCATTGATTTGATGGCAGCATGTATAATCATGTAGTCATCCTTCATTTTCATATAATGCTGATGTTCACATAACAGCCTGTTTTTTAACCTAACTATGTTGGTTAAGGGGAGCTCTGGTAGCATAGTGGCTAAGACACTTGCCTGCTAATCAGACGGCTGGCGGTTCAAACCCACCAGCCACTCCTCGGAAGGAAGGTTGGGCAATCCTACTTCCGTAGTGATACTGCCTCGGAAACCCAAGGAGGGGTCGCTATGAGTCGGGGCCGACTCGACGGCACATAACAACAACAACAACAACAACAACATGTTGGTTAAGTGAGGAGTGAGTTATTAGTAATAACGAGAGTAAATATTTTTGTGTGGACTTATTGATCCACTGATTTAAGATCTAGTCTCCACATACTTATTAGCCTATAAATTTCTCCAAATTATAATTTTCATTCTATTGCTTAGGAATACATAAGACTTCAATTACGGTGAGCAGTCCTTTTTTTTTTTTTTTTTTTAATTTCTAGAGAGGCTCTATCCTTTGCATTAAGTACAAATCAAAGAAGAACATCATATTTTTATTTGATTTTAAGATTCATGTTCACTAGAAAAATACAGAAAGCACACCTATCATGTTTAGTAAATTTCCAAATTTGTCCAGTGTGTCTTCCCAATTATTGTGAAGATCATAGAACTCAGCCAGATGAGCAAACACTTTAAAGCATGTCTAATCTGCATCAAGTCCCTGGTGATGCGAACAGTTAACACATGCTTGGCTGCTAACCAAAAGGTTAGAGGTTCAAGTCTACCCAGAGGCACCTTGGAAGAAAAGCCTGCTGATCTGCTCTGAACAATTCAGCCACTGAAAACCCCATAGGACACAGTTCCAGTCTGACTTACATGGGGTCACCATGAGTTGGAATTGACTTGATGCCAACTGGTAACTGGTTAATCCACATGGGGAACAATGGCAGCAAACTCATGCAGAAATCAGAGATCTCTCTCAAAGTATCAATGCACCAGAAGAGCCCACACTGCACCTTAAGCCTAAATCAAAGAAGAGCTCAGAGGTAAGGGGAACCACAAGGTTCTCTCCTTCCTAAGGTCACCTAAAGCCTCACCTGGCATATGCCTATGAACAGACCAAGAGGCTCCTGCCTTAAGAGGCAGACAAGTAGAACATTCCTCTCTATATGTTCTATACAGAGGAAACGGAAACTGCCATCAATTTCCCTCCATTTTCAAAAGGAAACCCAAATTCTCTTCTCTTCAAGGAATATAGTTTGAAATGTTACTGTAAAACCTGAATGGACCATGAAGTACAACTACTTACTCATGATGTGTTCTTAGTGGTGGCAGAAGGTCATCTTCAATATCACATCAACACATTTTAATAGAGTAGCCACAAAGACAATTTAAAGTTTCTTTGGAAACTTTCTTAGCCTGGGATGCATGTAACCATCCCATTTTAGAGCTGTAAGAGTCATCCCAAACAAGGACAATGTGGAACAAAACTCAAAATCATTAAAAAAAAAAAAAAAAAAAAACCCACCCAGGTTTGCTGGTCTGAAAGAGCCTGATGAGACATCTGAGACTATGGCCCCTAGCCACCCTTCAAGTCTGGAACTGAACTCATTCCTATGGCTTCCAGCCAAACAACAGACAGGCATATGGAGTGAACATTTACATCAGGTAGATCCACTACTTGGAGCAATCAATCACAGGAGAACAGAAGAACAGTGTTTGTACAGGAAGACAGCTGGGGTGTGGGTAGTGCATTGGAAGGAAGGACACAAGGAAGAGGTAACTATGGGAAGGAAGTGGGAAGAGAGCTGTTATACTATAGGGAGTTGCAGTCAATGTCATAAGACAAAATGTGCATGAACTGCTGCATGGAAAATGAATTTGTTCTGTAAACTTTTACCCAAATCACACACACACAAAATAGAGTCCTCCCAAACAATTTGCTCATTAAAGATGTGTTAAATGAAGTCTAGACAATTTAAGTGCACTGTCCAAAGCTATATAGTGACAAATTTGGGACAAGATCCATTCTCTATGGCTGTCAGTTCTGTCTCCTTTCCACAAGATCAGACTGTCTTCAGTTGTGCCAATAATAACTCTACTAATATTTTCTCCCTTTTGTTGACCCCTTGTTTGTTTTTAAAGTTACTGTAACTATGCACTACAGATGAACAAATCATTTGTATAGATTAAGAAATTGACATTACATGTAGTACATGTGCAAGGAGCTTTGGTGGCATAGTGGTTAAGTGCTTCGCTGCTAACTGAAAGGCTGGTGGTCAGAACTCACCAATGGCTCCGTGGGAGAAAGATGTGGCAGTCTACTTTCTTAAAGAATAAAACTGAAAAACCAAACTCACTGCCGTGGAGTTGGATCCGACTCATAGAGACCCCTCCTTGGGTTTCTGAGGTAGTATCTCTATGGAAGTAGATTGCCCCATCTTCCTTCTGAGGAGTGGCTGGTGGGTTTGAACCACCAGCCTTCTGGTTAGCAGCCAAATGCCTTAGGCACTATGCCACCAGAGCTCCCTTTTTAAAGAACACACCCATGGAAATCCTCTGGGGCAATTCTACTCTGTCCTATAGAGTTGCTACGAGTCAGAACTGAGTGGACAATAAAGGGTTTGTTTTTTTTGGAGGGGGGGCAGGTTTAGTGTATGTGCAGTATTCATTTCCTTTTAGTTAACTAAACTATAATGCTAACAGCAAGTTTAGTTGTTTATCAGAATTATAGAATAAGATATGATGTATCATAGGTGGAGCCTTTGCCTGAGACCTGATAACATCAAAACATCTAAACAAAAGCAGCAACCATTATTACAAAAAAAAAAAAAAAGGAAAGAAGACCAAAGATAGAGAGGAAGAAAGAGAAAGAAAGAGAAATCCACCATTAATCCAGATCTGTAGTGTACATGATACCAAGAAATGAGTTACTCCAATGCTTGCTTTACTGACTGAGATTACTTAGCTCCATGTTCTGTTATCAAATAAACATAAACTCTGGCTCTGGGAAGTCCCTCCTGGTGAATCCTGCAGTTATGCCATGCTGTGTATGCTAATAGCTGTTCCCTTTACTGAGATAACGGATGAGAACATATATAAAGTCTCAGAAACACCTAAAAAATTTCAGTGCATCTTGATCCATCTCCAGTTGAGATGAAAACCCATTTTAAAAACTGTAGTCTGCACATTCTCACTTCCAGGGCTTCGAACCAGTTCCTCTGATCACCTGATCTATAGGAATCACCAGGAGATCTTGTTAAAATGTAGATAGATATTCTGGTTCAGTAGATCTGGGGTGGAAATGCAAATTCTCAGCAAGGGGTCAAATGGAATGCATCTGTTGGAAGCCCGATTACTTGATAACGGAACATGAAATTGCTATGGAACCTGTCATTTCTCTTTAACAGGCTTTAATGAAATTATGTATTCTTTACCTTTCTTGTAAGTGGCACTTCAATGGGGACAGGAACAACTTCAGCAAGTAAGCAGCCGTAAAATGCTACCATGAAAGCAGCAGGGTCGTTGTTAGGAAATACCAGTGCTACCTGAAACAGACAGAAACCCAAGAAAACAAAGACAAGAGATGCATCACAGGCTGTCTAGGGCACTTGATGAAATTCAGTTTTCTCAGTTCTTATGAAAACATTTTACTACTAAAAGCTTTCCAATATGTTAACATGTTACATGTTATATTCTGTTTCATATAAATATCTTTAAAGGATTTAACTTTCCACAGGCACTGGGGTTAAAAATTTAAATAAGAATACTCACTGCCATCAAGTGGGATAGTGACCCCTCCTTGGGTTTCCGATGCAGTATCACTATGGAAGTAGATTGCCCAACCTTCCTTTCCCGGAGTAGCTGACGGGTTTGAACTGCCAGCCTTCTGGTTAGCAGTCAAATGCCTTAGGCACTACGCTACCAGAGCTCAAAAATCTCACTGCCATGGAGTCTTTTCTGACTCACAGCAACGCCCATTGGGTTTCAGAGGCTGTAAATCTTTATGGAAGTAAATTGCCCATTTTCCTTCCTCTGAGCAGCTGGTGGGTTTGAACTGCTGACCTTCCAATTAGCAGTCAAGTGCCTTATCCATGAAAAATTAGGAGCTCTATTTAAAAACACATTTTAGTAAGATGTGCTTTAATAAATCACATATGCTTTTTCTTTTACTTATGGGAGGAGCAAAAATATTAAAAATAGTCACCTGTAATACTGTTACCAGAATACAACTATCTTACTTTTGTTTATTATATTCCATATCTATATATTTGCTTTACATAAATGAAACTATAGTGTACATATTATTTTGTTTATCACTAAGCTTTATGAATACTCCCTTATATTTCTATATATAGACTTCCTCACTTTATTAGGTTCTTTGGTAAGAAGAAGGCTGTGTATCTTGGGAGCTAGATTCAGACAGAACTCAACTCAGATCCCATGCCAATGTTTAGCTTTGTGTTTATAGGCAGTTTTAACTTCTCTAAGCCTTCATTTTCTTATCTGAAAATGAGAGCAATAATAAAACCTACATTTGAGTGTTGTGGTGAAGGTCAAATGAGAGAACGTATATGATAAAGCTTTGCATTATGCCTGGCACAAAGTACGCATTCATAACAGTTACTGCTAGTAGTATATTAATTATTAGTACTGGTAATAGTAGCAGTATTAGATAAAAATGTTGCACATGCTGTTTTCGCTTTCTGCTTTATTCATGAATATCTGCATGCATGTGTGTATGTATGTATATATATGTACATATGTATATATATGTGTGTGTGTATATATATATATACTTAGAGGTAAATATATATGTAAATACACATATACACCCATCCCACCCATCTATCTTAGCTTCTGTTAAGAATTCCTAAATAGCAGTTGAATGTAAAACAAATTCTGCTCTGTGAATTTGCACCTGAAGCACAATTAAAAAAAAAAAAAAAAAAATTCTTAAATAGTAGAAAAACTAGTCCAAAATAATAACATTAATCATACAGTTGTAGAAGTGTAGCTAATTTAAACCATTTCCATTGCACTGTTTATATTATTATTCCCCACAGAACTGTTTTTCATTTCACATTTTTCCTAAAACTGAAACATATATTTTTTATATATTTGATAATTTTAACTCTTTGCTATATTTGCCATATTTGATGCAAATACTTCTGGGTGTATTTTCTTTTTTATTTTTATTTGTATGGACATTTAATGTTTATATGTAAATTTGCCAAACTTTTCTTTCATATTATCGCCAATTGTTTAACAAATCTTTCATCCAATTTGTCTAGACTTTCAAAATTGTGGACCACTTAAGTCATCTGGAGTTAATTTAGTTAGTATTTGCTGTGTAGCTAATTGAACGTATTATCCAACCTTGCTCCATTGTTACCCAATGCTACTTATCAAGTAATCCTTCTTTAGTCTCTCATTTTAGAAAGCTTCCTTTATGATATAAACTTTTAATAGACAGGCCTATTTCTGGATTCCTCATTATGCTCTGTGGAACTTTGCTTCTATTTTTACGCTGAATTCCTCTGGTGTGCTGCATTAGCATTAGTGTTACTCTTGACCTTATGGTTAGTTAACTTTGGCATGTTTTCATAAGTAGATAAAATCATGATTTAAAATGTATGTACTATTTTTGCATTACTTCATTCTAGAATTTAACTTTTTTTCCCCCAAAAAAATGTCCTAACTAGAAGTTATTGATTCTGTCACACACAGATGAATAAGATCATCTAATTATCCCAATATCTAAATAAGAGGATTGGTCTCAAAAGATTCAGGTAGTATTGAGAAGGGAGCAGGCTATATCATAAAGTTGATCAAGTAGACAATTTTACAACATAAACAATTGGTGGAAACAAAATTAAATTTTGTTTAGTTTAGAAAATACATATGGCATTCCTGATGTTAGGGGAATATATTTACTTTAAAATAAGGTGAAAATTCACTAAACAAAAGCTTCTGCTTCAAAACATATCATTATATATATATCTCCTTTGCATTCCTTTGAAAAGAAAAAATGAATCATAAAGTTATATAATTAAGTTGACAAACTCATGTTTTGCTTCACATTAAAACCTAACTGGAATATTGTTAGTAAAAGAGAGCTGCAGTATTAACTTCAGGGGATAGGGTATCATTATGGTTCTAGAGTTAGAACTCTGTGTAAAATATTTATATAATATAATAATGTTCATCACTCAGCCATAACAAACATTTAATTTCTCTATAATTGAAGCAATGCTCTTTTAGACTTTCAAGTGCAAGGTTTTTTTTTTTTCTTTTGTGTTTTACAATTTGTTTTAAAGACATTTGCACTTAAATCATTCTTATTAAGGTTTCCTTTTATATGTGAATCAGCCATTAATCCTGTTTTATTGATAGACTCCAGAGTAATCACAGTACAATACTATAAAAATGTTCAGATACAGAATTTTTATACATCTGCAATCTCAGGTTTCTTTTAACAATTCTCTGTGTATTCCCTTGATTTTTCATCGTACCCAGTAGAATAGCTGGCAGCAAATTAGGAGCTGAAAGACACACCACTGAGATTTGCATTAAGGCATTTCTTGTTTATCTCATTCCAATTTACCTCTTCAATTCTCCTTCTACTGATCTTCACATATTGTACTGATCTTCACATATTCAGCTCTACAAGCCAGGTGAATGGCTTTTGCCCACCATAGACTTGTCTTTTTCATGCTATTTCCTATTACCTGACCAAGGGTGGACATGTTAATCTCCTCCTGAGAAGCCTTCTCAGATTCTCAGAGGCTCCCCAAAATGAAAATCAGTTTTCTTCTTCCAAACAGCTCAGTGTGTCTCTTAGTATTTATTTTAAGGGGCCTTTAACATTTTCCAGTCTATATGAAAGCTATTATTATTGTGGCTTTACATTGTTTTTAATACGCAGCCTTCCAAAGGCAGGCCTCACGTGCCATGTATCTTTATATCTTCCATAGCTCCTCCCTACAATATCTGACTATTTAGTTTTAGACATTATAAATATCTTTTCCAAAGACCAAGATGTATTTTCCAAATTGCATTAACAGAAGCCATCCACATGAAAAGTGTTCATTATTTTGGGGAAAATTTTATTTTATTAAAAATGATTTTCAAAGAGAATAAGAATCCCATTTATTGCAACAGCAGGTTTCTGTCACCTAAATACTATAATTATGTGTGCTTATTTATTAATTATTCAGACACAAGTGCCAAGTGCTAACCACATGAACAGTTTAAAGAAAAATTAAGAAAAGTAGCCTCCATACACAAACCTAGCCAACCCGTTAAAAATCCCATTACATATTGTATTCTATCAAAATTGTATCCACCATCTTCTTTGCTATATGTTAGTTGAGCACAATGTTTTATTTTGCAATTATTATTGTACAGGAATTTCAAGAATCTGGGTCACTATGAGTCAGAACTGACTCACAGGCATCAGGTTTTGATTGGAGGTCATACTACAAATAAAATTTTTAAGAAACTATCAACACTATGGATCAACTTATGATCCATATGGAACATATCCAACAATATGGAAAATATTACTCAGCAATTGCCTTTCAAAAGCTAGTTGTTGTTGTTGTTGTTGTTGTTATGTGCCGTCGAGTCGGCCCCGACTCATAGCGACCCCTCCTTGGGTTTCTGACGCAGTATCACTATGGAAGTAGGATTGCCCAACCTTCCTTCCGAGGAGTGGCTGGTGGGTTTGAACCACCAGCCTTCTGGTTAGCAGTCAAGTGCTTTTAGGCACTATGCTACCAGAGCTCCTTTATGCTACCAAAAGCTAGAGTCAAAGTTATTCAATAAAAAATTTAGAAAGAATCAGTGAATCATAGAAATCCTGGAGCTGGCAGTAAACTTTAACAATTCCCCCATGGGTCAATGTCTTTATAATATCTCTTATGTAATCATAGCTCATGTTTCCAATGGTATATGGTACTCAAATATTTTTAAAGAATTCATGTGGAATCCTTTGGGTGCAGGTAAGATTACCCAGTCGTGGGTCCTCTAAGATACTTAACAACATGCAGTAAAAGAGGTACTATATTTGAAGACAAGAAACTGGGTTCTATAGCCAGCCTCACATCTACATTGGTATGGCAAGCTTGGACAACATTCTTATCTGTTCTGAGTCTAACTGTAAAATGGAAATGCCAATACCTGTCCTCTCTAAATTACCAGATTCCAGTAAAAATGAAATAAAAATTTGCTTTCTAATGAAAGACTATGGCCTTTATAAAGAAATTTAACACCGAGAAAGGAACAGTAGCAACCATTTTCTGTCAAGAACATTTGTCTCACTAATTACTGTTTTAAAAACACTGTATTTTTTTGCATATAACATGCCTGCGTTCATAATGCATACACATATAATGTGCACAGCGTGTTTAGGAACCTAATGTACAAGGGGTTGCGTAGTTTGCAAAAAACTATATATAATGTGAATATTATATGCTTATAAAAATATAGAAATTGTCCTGCTTGCCAGCTCCATGATACAAGTAGTGTGTTTATATGATCGTGGCTAAGACAATGGGCTCTGGAGTATGACAGACATGGATATGAGTGTTGGGTATTACATTTACTAGTTTTATATCATCATGTAATAAGTTTGATACTTAACATTGCTAGCCCTCAGTGTTATGTATATAAAATGGGAGAAATACTAAAACTTAGCTCTTGAGTAGTTATAAAGATTAAATGATATATTGCATATAATCACTTTTGGTTTATAGTAAATGCTAGGAAAGATGTATTTAGTAGTAGTGTTACTAGGTATATTTTTGACATAAAATTATGTTTTTTGATGATCCAATAATTTAACCTTTCATGACCTGTGGGTCATATATCACCTACCAACATTTTCAGCCTCTCAGATTTCTTGGGAAGCTATTATCCCAGCTGTCACTTGCAGGGACTTGCATAAATGTGTGAATCTGAAGAAATGGGTCTCATCTCACTAATCCTACCATTAAAGTCCATTTGGGACATATGTGTCCCTCATAATTGTATGAAAATCCATTAATATTTTTTCCCTTGATTTCACCATGCCTTCCATTACTGAGAACACATGTTATCAGAGAAAAATTAAAAGCAGAATTCAGTCATGAAAGGTTAAATTGCACTTACCCTATCTCCAGGTCGCACCATAGGTTCTTGTTTTGTACCTAATTTATGTAGAATGTTGTAAGCAACCTTCATACTTCTTGTCCACAGCTTGCCTATCAATACAAATTATAAAGAGACAATTGTATTTTTATACATATATACATTCACTTATGCGCATATATATACATATATATATACACACACACACACATTAAACTATATATAGTACTTCTCCAAATGAAATTATATCATATACATCTATTTGTTTCTTGTATATGTGATTTGCAAGTAACTCTTACTAGAGACATAATGAAAAAGTAGATCAGGTAGTCAAGAAAATGTTCCAGGTCAGTGAAGAAGAGAAGTTTTTTAAAAACAAAACTTCAGGAGAGAAAATAAAATTGAAGAAAAAATAAAAAACAAATTTTAGGACTATGTGAGGGAGGGAACTGATGATACTTGTGTGATTAAAAGGCTGATTAGTTGAGCTAATAATATCTGGCCATAGAAAGCAAGCATAAGGGATCCTTAAGAAATCCTCTCAGTAGAGTTAACAAAGTTTACCCAAAGGGTTTTTTTTTTTTTTTTTGCTTTTTTTCACTTTAAGCATTCAAGTTATTCTGTGTCCATGAAATCAAGATGGGAAACAAAAGTCAACAACTCTCATAAAATCAGAGAAGCCTGAATATTTCAAAGGTGTACCAAAAACAAAACAGAACTCCTCTTAGTATGCTAAGTACCTAGCGGAAAGTCTAGAAAGTTTCCATTTTTATCACAGAAGTTGTTGGGGGAAGATTTCTAGGCATAAAATATGGGAAGGCTACCTATGGTGGTAGCTATTGCTGCTATCGTAACCTGTGCAAAATGACATCTTTTCCTTATTAATATGTTCCCCCTTAGACAGCTGTCATGAACATAAAGAGAGCTGAAAATAAGTTTTGTAAGTTTATTAAGAAACCTGATCAATTTCCTTTCTTTCTCAAATCCAAAATTTCTCAATTTTCTTAACCAAGAGTTTTACAGTTCAATCTTTGAACTTTGATAAGGATTACAGTAAACATTTTGGGTGATGTTAAATTTCCAAATTCTAGAAAAATTACCACAAAGAGGATTAACAACAGGATTTAAAAAAAAACAGAGACTCGATTAAAATATGGCAGGCTCTGAAGAACTTGCAGATTTCAAGTCTATGTTTTCATCTCAGTGACAGGTGTTTCTTCAGCATTGTCCAGGTAACGGTCTGAAATGGAGTTAAAATGACTGTAAACTCTAGTAACAACTCTAGAATATATAAAGGCCTTTTATAGCCTCGTCTCATCAACCTAAGCTGCTGCAAAGAGCTCTTCAGAAGTAATTGAGGTCTTAGAAGTTGCATTAGTGCAATAAAACTATAATAAAGCTAAAATAAAATGTTTTCTATAAATGCAATAGCTATTTTAATCTTTTTTCCATTTTAAATGTAAACACTGAATCAAAATTTTTTGTTTATATCACATTTTGGGAAAAGAAAGAAAAACAAAAATAAAAAACCAAAAAACCCACCACCCTGAATTAGTTTTATTTCATATTGGATTTTGCAGCTATTCAAATTAATGTTACTAGCTCTGGTAGCATAGTGCCTAAGGCATCTGAAGGCTAACCAGAAGGCTGGCAGTTCAAACTCACCAGCCACTCCTCAGAAGGAAGATGGGGCAATCTACTTCTGTAGTGATACTACCTTAGAAACCCAACGAGTGGTTACTATGAGTTGGGTCTGACTGCACGTAACAACAACAACAACAAACTATATACCTATCACAGGATTTATCAACTTGTCTTTCCCTTAATATTTACTGGGCAAAGAATAAGTCTAAATCATCTTGGATTCATCTAATTTCTAGGACAATTGCTGGTTCATAGTATGTGTTCAACAAATGTTTCTTTTGTGTTTTGTTATAAGCTTGCTATAAAAAAGGACAAAATTATAATATTCCTCTTAGCATACACCTTAAGCACTTGAAGCAATTATTAGATATAAATTGCATTCACTTCTCAACTTCTTTAACTGTCCCTTCAACAACAATGCAGTCGTCAAGACTGGCAATTTTACAATCATTTGATATTGGGAAGAGAGAGGAAAGGGACAAGAATTTGAATTCAGATTTGTGTTGACACCAAGGCCTGGCCTCTCAACCAGTTTGGCTTGATAATATTTTAAGTCATGTAAAACCTACTCGATTATACATTTCTATTTTTAAAAAAACAAATTTTGTTTTTTAAATGAATTAACAAATCTAGCTAGATTTTCTGTTCAAAATTGTATCTCCATCTTACTGGAGAAACACAGAGCTATGGGAAACACAGAAACAGTACTATAGTATGTATTTCATTAATTCTTACCAAGTTATTGGTAGACACATTGAAACCTACATATAAAAAACTCTCAAGCTGATTAATCATATTGGATATTTTATATTAGGAAAGAACTTGAATCTACCAACAAATTCAATACTATTAGAACTGCTGAAAAAGCAATGTACAGATATTTACACGGATCTCACTATAGCATTGCCAAAAGAATGAACAAATCTGTCCTGGAAGTAAGACAGCTGGAACACTCCGTAGAAGCCAGACTTTATCTCATCTACTTTGGTCAGGTTATCAGAAGTGACCAGTGCCTGGAAAAGGGTATCATGCTCGGCAAAGCTGAGGGTCAGCGAAAAAGGGGAAGACCTTCAATGGATGGATTGACATGGTGGCTGCAATGATAGGCTCACCACAGCATGAGCATGGCGCAGGACCAGGCAGTGTTTTGTTCTGTTGTACAATGGAGTGCTATGAGTTGGAGCTGACGCAATAGCAATTAACAAAAACTACTGCAGGTAAGTAGTAACCATTTAAATATTTGTTCATCTCTTTTAAAGAAGAGGAACCTGGTGGTGCAGTAGTTAAAGCATTGGGCTGCTAACTGAAAGGTGTGTGGGTTTGAACCCACCAAGCACTCCATGGGAGAAAGATGAGGCCATCTGCTTCTGTAAAGATTTAAAGCCTTGGAAACTCTATGGACCAGTCCTATTCTGTCTTATAGGGTTGCTAGGAGTCAGAATGGACTTGATGGCAGTAGATTTTAAGAAAGAATGCCAAAATAACCTGTAGCAAAAATATAAGACTAGGAGGGAAAATGTCTCTATATTATAAATGAAATCTGTCATTTCAGTGAGTGTCACAGTTTCTACATAGATTGGATTGTAGAATTTTTATTTAAATCTAGATGGATATTTTGAATTAAAAAAAAAAAAAACAGAAAAGACAACTGAAATTGATCATTAACAGCTGGATACTGGCTGAAGAAGCTCAGCTTTAAACAGTGTATACAGAGAATTTTGGAAATAAGTAGATGAATAGTTATGGTGGCATATACATTCCATACCTCACAAAATGGGATGGTGATACCTGCTCTAGAAAATTCACTGTATCATCATAGGATTCAATGAGATAAATGTGATATTGTTTTGAAGTTTGTACACTAGTTTAAAACACTGCTGATGTCATTAAGTATAACATAGTATATATTATTGCATATAGTAATAATAAAGGACATAGTATAGCATACAGTAAGAAGTCCTGGTAGATCAGTCATTGAAGTGTTCAGCTGTTAACTGAAAGGTCAAAGTTCAAACCCACCAGCCACTTTGTGGGAGAAGAAACATGTGGCAGCCTGCTTCTGTAAAGATTATAGCCTAAGGAATCCCATGGGGTAGTTCTACTCTGTCCTATAAGGTCAATATGAGTTGGAATGGACTCAATAACAATGGTATTTTTTTGTTTTACATTACATAGTACGGTAGCTATTTTTAAATATAAATGTTAGGCTACATATAGCCAAAACAGACATCTCATATTAATTTGTGATCAGTGATCAAGATACTAATCATTGGTTAATGTATGAATATAATGGGTGGTGCAAACAGTTAAGCACTCAGCTGCTAACTGAAAGTTGACAGTTTAAATGCACCAAGAGGTACATCAGAAGAAAGGCCTAGACATTTACTTCTGAAGAACCAGGATTGAAAATCCTGTGGAGCACACAGTTCTACTCTCACACTCATGGAGTTGTCATGAATCAAAATCAATTGAGGCAACTGGTTTGGTTTTTCTAAATACAATGCTTGCAGGGTACAGCAAAGAGCAAGGCTGCCATTTCCATTTCTTTCTCCTTTAAGGCAAATAGAGATATGCCTTCTTAAAACACTGAAGTGCTAACAATTTCTGAAGAAAGCAGCAACCACCTGATATAAATATTACCTATTTCAGGAAATTAGCAGGATAATTGTTTGGTTGTCTGGATCCAATAACACTACTGATTTACACATGGTATGTGGCTATAAAGGAGTCAAATTTTATCACAGCAAAAAAAAAAAAAGACAACATAAATTGGAAAAGCTATCTATAATATAATTTGCCTATGAGCTGTTCAGAAAAATCAGAAAGTTGATATTCATTTTACCCTGTGAAATGGAAAAATTAAAACCCAAATAACACTGCTGAATTAACTTTTAAATTGATTAGAATAAACCATTCATTACAAATTGTAGGAAACCAATTTTATGTCCAAGAAACAACTTGAATGGTTTCAGAGGTGACACATTCATTCATCCACAGAAGTCATCTGAAATCACAGAAAAGTTGGCACCTTAGGTACAGAAATAATATTTGCAAACTGATATAAGTGGCAAATTGTTCTCAGCACTACCCTAAATGCTTGCATGAACTCAACATGCAAAAATCTGGACAGACAAAAATCTGCTCTACAGACAGAATGATGTGAAGAAGATGAGCTTGGAATCCAACTGATGTGAATCTAAATGTGTGGTCTGATGAGGTTGGGAAAGCAAGTTTACATTTTTTTTCTTTTTTTTCCCTCTTTAACATTGTGAAATTATTTTACTTATATACATGGTAAGGATGATATACCTACTTTTCTAATAGAACAGTACATATTCAGACAATTAGCATAACGCTTGACACACAGCCCTCCTTAAAAATCCATCTGCCTTTTCTACTCTGTTAAAACTCTAATCTATAATACACTTAGTTTCAAACATTTTATTTCAACTGACCAGTTACTTCAGAG